GACAAGCATCTATAGTTCCAGTTATCTGGGACAGGTCAGGGGAGAAAACCACATCGCTACCACGACTCAGCCCAGGATAATTGTCACTTCTGAGACTTTATGGGTATTTATTCTTTCACATCTGCACAAAGAAGCATGAAAGTGTAAATAATTAAATAATTTAATTCCAAAAATGGAATAAAACCTGCAAGAAATGAGCAAAAATAAGATAAGAATGACCAGCAATTGCTTAGAAACAGCCAAAAAAAGATTTAAAATGGGTATAAAGAAGCAAAAATGGGTTAAATCAAGTCAGGAAAGGGCCAAAACGGGTTAGAAATAGAAAGAAATTTGTAAGAAATGGAGAAAAATCCTTTGAAAATGGCCAAAATGGCTTAAAAAGAGGCAGTATTGCGCAAAAAAGGGTTAGAAATAGCTCAAGCCAGTTTAGAAAAAGGTAAGAAAAGCTTAAACCAGACTAGAAACTTCCATAAATAGTTGACATTTAGCCAAAAATGGAATAAAACCTGCAAGAAAAAATGGGCAAAAATAAGACAAGAATGACCAGCAATTGTTTAGAAATAGCCAAAAAAAACTTAAAAAGAGTCAGAAAGAGCCAAAAATGGTTTAAACCTGGTTAGAAATAGGCAAAAATGGTATAGAAACAGAAAGAAATTGGTAAGAACAGGAAAAAAATGGCTTGGAAATGGCCAAAATGACTTAAGAAGAGTTAGAATTGGGCAAAAAAGTGTTACAAATAGCTCAAGCTAGTTTAGAAATAGCTTGGAAAAGGTTAAACCAGGCTGGAAATGGCAAAAAACAGTTCAGACTTAGTCAACAATGCATAAAATTACTAAGAAATAGGAAAAATAGATAAGAATGTCCAGCAATTGTTTAGAAATAGCCAAAAAAGAATTAAAAGGAGTTAGAAAGGGCCAAAAATGGTTTAAACCAAGTCAGGAAAGGGCAAAACCAGGTTAGAAATAGAAATTGGTAAGAACTGGACAGAAAGGGTTTGGGAATGGCCAAAACGGCTTAAAAAGAGGCAGTATTGTGCAAAAAGAGGGTTAGAAATACCTCAAGCCAGTTTAGAAATAGGTAAGAAAAGCTTAAACCAGACTAGAAACTTCCATAAATAGTTGACATTTAGCCAAAAAAGGAATAAAACCTACAAAAAATGGGCAAAAATAAGGTAAGAATGAATAGCAATTGTTTAGAAATAGCCAAAGAAGACTTAAACAAGGCTAGAAACTTCCATAAATAGTTCAGATTTAGCCAAAAATGGAATAAAACCTGCAAGAAATGGGGAAAAATAAGATAAGAATGACCAGCAGTTGCTTAGAAATAGCCAAAAAAAAAGATTTAAAATGGGTTAGAAAAAGCCAAAAATGGTTTAAACCAAGTGAGGAAAGGGCAAAAATGGGTTAGAAATGACAGGAAATTAGTAAGAAATGGACAGAAATGGTTTGGAAATGGCCAAAACGACTTAAAAAGAGATAGAAGTGGGCAAAAAAGGGTTAGAAATAGTCTAAACCAGTTTAGAAATAGCTACGAAAAGCTTAAACCAAACTAGAAATGGCAAGAAACTGTTCAGACTTAGTCAAAAATGGCATAAAACTGGTAAGAAATTGGCAAAAATAAGAATGATCAGCAATTGCTTAGAAATAGCCAAAAAAGACTTAAAATGGGTTAGAAAGGCCCAAAAATGGTTTAAACCAAGTCAGGAAAGGGCAAAACCAGGTTAGAAATAGAAAGACATTGGTAAGACCTGGACAGAAAGGGTTCGGGAATGGCCAAAAGGGCTTAAAAAGAGTCAGTATTGCGCAAGAAAATGGTTAGATATAGCTCAAGCCAGCTTAGAAATAGCCAAAAAAGACTTAAACCAGGCTCGAAACTTCCATAAATAGTTCAGATTTAGCCAAAAAAGGAACAAAACCTACAAAAAATGGGCAAAAAATAAGGTAAGAACGACCAGCAATTGTTTAGAAATAGCCAAAAAAGACTTAAAATGGGTTAGAAAGGGCCAAAAATGGTTTAAACCAAGTCAGGAAAGGGCAAAACCAGGTTAGAAATAGAAATAAATTGGTAAGAAATGTTGAGAAATGGTTTGGGAATGGCCCAAATGACTTAAAAAGAGTCAGTATTGCGCAAAAACGGGTTAGATATAGCTCAAGCCGGTTTAGAAATAGGTAAGAAAAGCTTAAGCCAGGCTAGAAACTTCCATAAATAGTTCAGAAATTGCCATAAAATGGCTTAAAACTGGCAAGAAATGGGCAAAAATAAGATAAGAATGACCAGCAATTGTTTAGAAATAGCCAAAAAAGACCTAAAATGTGTTAGAAAAAGCCAAAAATGGTTTAAACCAAGTCAGGAAAGGGCAAAAGCTGTGTTAGGAACAGAAAAAAAATTGCTAAGAACTGCACAGAAATGGTTTGGGAATGGCCAAAATGACGTTAAAGAGTCAGTATTGTGCAAAAAAGGGTTAGAAATAGCTCAAGCCAGTTTAGAAATAGGTGAGAAAAGCTTAAACCAGGCTAGAAACTTCCATAAAGAAGTGAAGCATTAGCCAAAAATGGCATAAACCAGGTAAGAAATGGGCAAAAATAAGGTGAGAATGACCACCCATTGTTTAGAAATAGCCAAAAAAAAAGTTAAAGTGGGTCAGAAAGGTCCAAAAATGGGTTAAACCAAGTAAGGGAAGGCCAAAAAAAGGGGTAGAAAGAAATTGGTAAGTACAGGACAAGAACAGTTTGGAAATGGCCATAATGGCTTAAAAAGAGTTAGAATTGGGCCAAGAAATAGCTCAAGCCAGTTAAGAAATAGCTAAGAAAAGCTGAAGCCAGGCTAGAAATGGCCATGAATTCTTTAGGAATTGCCAAAAATGGCTTAAAACTGGTAAGACATGGGCAAAAATAAGGTAGAAATGGTCATCAATTGTTTAGAAGTGGTGAAAAATGCTTCAAACATGGGACAAGCAGGCAAGAATAGACTAGGAATAGCCAAAAAAAAAGCTTAAAACTGGTAAGAAATGACCAAAATTAGGATACAAATGGCCATAATTCTTTTAGAAATAGCCAGACTTAAAATGGGTTAGAAATTGGCAACACTGGGTTAGGAATGGCCAAAAATGGCTCAAACCGAGTCAGGAAAGAGCAAAAATGGGTTAGAAATGGCAAGAAATTAGTAAGAAATGGACAAAAAACATTTGGAAAAGGTCAAAATGGTTCAAAAAGTTTTAGAATTGGGGGAAAAAAGGGTTCAAAACAGCTTGAACCAGTTAAGAAATAGCTAGGAAAAGCTTAAAATAGGCTAGAAACTTCCATAAATAGTTCAGATTTAGCCAACAATGGAATAAAACCTGCAACTCAATCATGTACCAAGGAAAGAGTCAGGGTATTTTCAGCTCTGTCTTGAACACTGCCAGCCATGGGGCAGCCACAGCTTCTCTGGGCACCCTGTGCCACTGTCCCACCACCCTCACAGGGAACAACTTCTAAGATCTCATCTCAATCTCCCCTCTCTGTCACGTTAAAATCGTTCCCCCTTGGCCCATCCCCACAGGCCCTTGCTCTCCCCACAAGAAATGAGGGCAGATCCCAGGATCATCCCTCGGCAGCCGCAGCGCTCCGCTGCCGGCTCAGCCAGCCCAACTCACACACCGAGTCCAAAGCAGCCACTCTGGGGAAGTCTCTTGAGGTGTTCTGGCAACTCCTACAGCACCCCAAGATCGCCATCGCCACCCACCTCCTTCCACGCTCCTCTGTCCACAGGCGGCACCGGCTCCGAGACACCAAGACGGGAACCACCAGAGGAGCTGCTCTTGCCTCCTCCACCGGTAGCTTGTGTTCCGTGGGGCAGCTGTCGTCTCCCGGTGCCTCTGCTGGAGGGTTCTGTGGGGTTCTGTGACCTCACACACCTGAACACGGGGAGTTCCAGAATCAGCCACCCCTGTGGTCTCCATGTCCCCAAGGTCATTGTGATGCATGAGCTCTGACTGGGTCCATGGGGTGCTCTGGAGGTGCTGCAGGCATTCTCTGGGATTCTCTAGGGGTATCCCCAGGATGCCCTGGGAGTGCACAGAGACACAGGGCCGTGGAGCAAGCTGCTCTAGTGGAAGGTGTCCCTGCCTGTGCCTTTGGGGGTTGGAGCTGGGTGAGCTTTAAGGTCCCTTCCAGCCCACTCTGGGATTCCATGATTCTCTGCTGTGCCAACGTCGGTCCCTCTCCACTCCTCGTAGGTGGCCGTGACGCCCTGTTCCATGGCCCACGTTGAGCTGTGACCCCTCGCATGCTCCACCTCCGGACCAAAGGCACTGAGGAAGAGCAGCCCGTGAGGGACCTCCCCGAGCCGGCTGGGCAGAGGCTGGTCCCCCCGCAGCCACTCCCGGAGCACCCCTGGGTGCCCAGTGGCCATGGGTACGATGCTGCCGCCATCCCAAAGCCGTGGCGGTCGCTGGGGATTTGCCCATTGTGACGGGGCCCCCACGGTGAGCGTGGGCTCTTTAAGGAGGGAGAGCCCTGCAGTAACCGGTGCAGAGGAGAGCCCTCCCCTCCCTCGGGGCTTCATGTAACCAAAAACGGGGGTTTAGGGAGAAGCTGGGGGGGCTTTAAGGACCCCTATGAGCCCAGCCCCCACTTCAGAAGAAAACCCAGGGGGGTTTAAAGTATAGAGGGGGTCCCTAAAGGGTTCTGGGGTTCAGGAGTGGGGAGGAAAAGATCATGGGGGAGGGCCCAGGGCAGTTTTGGGGTGCAAGGGGGGAAACCAGGCTGCAGGATGCATTCGGGGGGGTTCCTTGAGAGGGTTTTGGGTGCATGGGGGAATCCATAGGGTGGTTTTGGGGTGCAGAGGGGTTGTTTTCGGGTGCAGTGGGGGTAGATTTGGGGTGCAGGGGGGATGGTTTTGGAATGCAGAGGGGGTGTTTTCGGATGCAGGGGGGATGGTTTTGGGGTGCAGGGGGGTGTTTTGGTCCCTGTGGGAACCCCCCCAAAACCCTCTAACGCTCCCCACCCCGCCCCCCAAACCTGAATCTCCTTGAGGTGCTGGTACCTGAGCCCCGAGTTAAGGAGGAAACCTGGGGGGAAGTTAAAGGAGGGGTTGGGGGAGATTGGGGAGGATCATGGGAGGGAACTGGGGGTTCCTGGGGATCCCAATGGGATTTGGAGGGGTCCTAAAGGAATTTGGGCTCCTGTGCATGGATCTGGGAGAAGGGGTTGGGGGAGGGGGGTCTCAAGGGGGAATTGGGGGGTGCTGGGGGGTTGTTGGGATCCCAATGGAACTTTGGGGGGTCCTAACACGCAAAGGGGTTTCGGGGGGTCCTGAGGGGTTTTGGAGGCTCCCCAATGAGCTTGGGTGTCGTCCCCCCCCCCCCACTTTGGGGTGCAGCGGATACCACAGCAGGTTCCCTTTGATCTTCACATTCCTACAGGAACACCCCCCCCCCCCATGTATTTTAGGGACCGATCCGAGGTTTGGGGTCCCTCCAGATGTTGCAGTTCCTCCCCCCCAGATGTTGGGGTGCCCCCCTCACCGCGGGTGCCGCACGTGGCCCATGATGTACTCCCGGATGGGGGCACAGGGCCCCGTGCACAGCCTGGAGGTGGGGGGAAGACAAAGAGAGGGGGTCAGGAGCACCCCAACCCCCCCAGGACCCCAAAAGCCCCCACTGGGGGGTCCCGCGGGCTCCAACCTGCGCAGGTCGGGATCGGAGGGGAGCTCCAGCTCCGCCATGATGGGCGAAATTGGCGCGCTGGGAGCGCCGCGCGGCACGACGGGAGTTGTAGTCCAAGCCGGGCGGCGCCTTAATGGTGTTGTAGGGGTGTCGCACTGCATCATGGGAGTTGTGGTCCAGGCTGGGCGACGCCATGACAGGGCTCTCTGGGTGCCGCGTTGCATGATGGGAGTTGTAGTCCTCTCCTGGGCAAAGCCATAACGGGTCTCTATGGCCATCGTGGGGCATGATGGGAATTGTAGTCCTGGCTGAGCATCGTCATAATGGGGCTCTATGGGGGCAGCGTTGCATGATCAGGGTTGTAGTCCCTGTAGGCTATGGGTCTCTATGGGTCTCTGTGGGTCTCTATGGTTCACTTTGGGTTGCTTTCGGGCTCTCTGGGGTGTCTATGGGGTATCTATGGATCTCTATAGGGTCTCTGTAGGTATCTATGGGTCTCTATGGTCTCTAAGGGGCTCTACAGGTCTCTATGAGTCTCTGTGTCTCCCTATAGTCTTTATGGGCCTCTATGGGTCTACATGGTCTCTATGGGTCTCTCTATGGTCTCTATGGGTCCCTGCAGGGTCTAACCATGGAGGGGGGGGGGTCTCTTTACGAGTCCCTTGGAGGGGGGAGCAGCAGCTGCGCCAATACCAGGACACGGGGGGCTGCAGGGGGCAGAGCTCGAGACCCCGAGACCCCCCTCTACCCCCATTGCCCCCATTACCCCAAATTGCTCCCATTGCCCCATTACTGCCATTGCCTCCATATAAAGCCATGGAGCCAGCAGTGGGTGTGATCCTGTCCCTGCCCCATAGGGTTCTATAGGGGTCCATAGGGATCCCATCGCCCCCCATCTCCCTCCTTTCTCCCCCCCCACCGGCCAAAGCGCGCTCTGTTCCTGTCGCCCCGCCTACTTCCACAGCAGCCAATCAGCTCCTGGCTCCGCCCACTGCACCGCAGAGCCAATCAGAACGCAGGGCGGGAGAGTAGCCTCCCCGCTCCCCTCAGCTGACTCCGCCCCCTGTAACGGCCGCAGGTGCGAGGAGAGGTGGGGCGGGGGGCAATGGGGCCTATGTGGGAGTAATGGGGGGCAATGGGGGCAATCGGGGGCTATGGTGTGCAGTGGGGCCAGTGTGGGGTTTATGGGGGCAGTGGGGGTAATGGAGGCAATGGGGCCAATGTGGGGGTAATGGGGGGCAATGGGGGCATGGGGGGCAATGGGGGGTAAGTGGAGGGGCAATGGGGATCCTGGGGTCTCCATGGGGCGAGCTGCGGCCCTTTGGGGGATCAAACTTCAGAACTTCATTTCCTCACCTTCATTTCCTCCCTTTTTTCTCCTCATTTCCCCCATTCCCTCTGCATTTCCCCCATTTCCTGCCATTTCCCCCCATTCCTGCTATTCCTTCCCATTTCCCTCCCATTTCCCACCCTTTCCTCCCTATTTCCTGCCATTCCCCCATTTCTCCCCTATTTTCCCCCACTTTCCCTCCATTTCCCCCCTTTCCCACCATTTCTTCCATTTCCTCCCAAATTCCCCTCCTTTTTCCCTCATTTCCCCTCCATTTCCTCTCCATTTCCCTCCCATTTTCTCCCAATTTCCCCCTACCCCTATTTCCCCCATTTCCCTCCCATTTCTCATTTCCCACCATTTCCCCCCTTTTCCCATTTCCTCCCCATTTCCCCTCCTTTTCCCCCCATTTCCCACCTATTTCCTCCCCCATTCCCCCCCCCCCCCCCCCCAGGCTGTTCCCATGAGCCGCCACCGCTCCCCTCCCCCCCCGCGCCGCCGCCACCGCCGCACACGGCGGGAACTGGACGGGACCAAATTGGGGCGCGCAAGGTGGGGGAAGGGGGCCCGGGCCCGATCCTGGCCCCTGCGCGCCCCCCCGCAGCCCCTTCCCCCCCCACGTCACGTGGTCATCACCCAGCACCGCCTCCTGCTCCACCCCCGCGGGCTCTTCGCCCGCGAGGTCACCTCGGGTCACGTGGGGCGGGGCTCCATAGGGAGGACCCAGACCCCGCCCCATAACTTGGGGGGCTCCACAGGTGAGGAGCCCCCTAACTTGGGGGAGGGCACAAAGGGGGACCCTCAGACCCCGCCCCATAACTTGGGGAGCACAAACGGGAGCTCCATACTGGGGACCCAGACCCCACCCCATAGCTTGGGGGGCACAAAGGGGGCACCTCATAACTTGGGGGCGGGCACAAAGGGGGACCCCCACACCCCGCCCCATACCTTGGGGGGCACAATGGGGGGCTCCATAGGGGGGACGCAGGCCCCGCCCCATAACTTGGGGGGGACAAAGGGGGCACCCCATAACTTGGGGGGCTTCATAGGGGACTTCCTGAGCCTGCCCCATACCTTGGGGGGCACGAAGGGGGCGCCCCATAACTTGGGGGAGGGCACAAGCGGGGACCCCCAGACCCCGCCCCATGACTTGGGGGCCACAAAGGGGTTCCCCCCTAACTTGGGGGTCCCAATGCCCGTCCCCCAACACCCCATAGCTCGGGTCCTGGCCGCCCGCTTGGGGGCGCTGTTGCACCGGGCCCCGGTGCTGCTACGGGAGCGGCGCCGCTCGGTGCTGGGGGCGCTGCTCCGTGGGGGGGGGCACCGGGGCTTCCCTCCCCGGCTCTCGCCGCTGCTCCGGGCGCACAGGGACCTGAACCCGAGAGCTCGGGGCTCGAACCGGCTGCCCCTGGAGCCTCAATGGGAGCCGCAACCAGATGCGCAGCAGGACCAGGACATCCCCAGCCAGATCTTTGGATCCAGTGCGGAGCAGTGGGAAGTGAGTTGGGAATGAGGGTAACGGGTGGCAATGGGGGGCAATGGCGTAATGGGGGGTAATGGGGTAACAGGGTCAATGGGGGTAATTAGGGGTAATGGGCAATGGGGGTAATGGGAGGCAATGGGGGTAAAGGGGGGTAATGGGTAATAAGGTCAATGGAGACAATGAGGGGCAATGGTGGGCAATGGTGACTCTCCCCCCCACCCCAGAGCCCTCTCTCCTGGAGCCTGGTTCCACTCTTCCAGCCCCATGGAATTTCGTGTCTGTGTCAGCGCTCTCCCCCGCAACTGGACCCGGACCTGGATCCGTGTCCATGTGTGGAGCATCCGGATCCAGATCCCATAGGATCTGCTCCCAAGCACCAGGAGCTGCGATACCAATGGGATCCAGTGCTCCCAGATGATCCAGGGCTCTGGAATGAGGGGGAGCTGCAGCATGAGCCGGTGCTTCGGAACGATTCCATGCTCCCAGAGAGCCTGGTGCGGCTCCGGCATGATCCGGGGATCTGGGATGATCCAGGGATCCGGAATGATCCAGGGATCCAGAATGATCCAGGGATCCAGAATGATCCAGAGGTCTGGAATGATCCATGGCTCCAGAATGATCCAGGAATCCAGGATGATCCAGTTTGGCTCCATCGTGATGCAATGCTCCGGAATGATCCAATATCCCGGCATGATCCGGTTCGGCTCCATCAGGATCCGTTCGTGTTCCAACAGGATCCAGTGTTCTGGCATGATCCACAGCTCCGGAATGACCCAGTTCGGTCCCATCCCAATCCCACTCGGCTCCATTCAGATCCAATTCAGTCCCATTCTGATCCTGTTCGGCTCCATTTGGACCCAATTCAGCTCCATCCCAATCCCATTCAGCTCCATTCAGACCCAATTCGGCTCCATCCTGATCTGGCTCAGTCCCATCCTAATCCCATTCGGCTCCATTCAGACCCAGTTCGGCTCCATCCAGACCCAGTTCGGCTCCATCCCAATTCAGTTCCCCTCCATTTAGACCCAGTTCAGTCCCATCCCAATCCTATTCAGCTGCATCCCGATCCCATTCGGTCCCATCCTGATTCAGTTCCGCTCCTTTTGGACCCAGTTCAGCCACATCCCAATCCCATTCGTTTCCATTCAGATCCAATTCGGTCCCATCCCAATCCCATTCATCCCTATCCTGACCCCATTCAGCTCCATTTGGACCCAGTGCAGTCCAATTCCAATCCCATTCGTCTCCATCCCAATATGATTCATCCCTATCCCAACCCAATTCAGCTCCATCCCGATCCCATTCGGCCCCGTCTGGGTCCGGTCCGCCTCCACCCAGACCCAATCCAGCTCCATCGGAGTTCAACATGGCTCCATCCGGACCCATCCCGGCCCCATCCAGATCCAGTCTCGCTCCATTTAGACCCAATCCGGCTCCATCCGGATCCAATCCGGTTCCATCTGGACCCGTCCCGGCTCCATCCAGCCCCAATCCAGCTCCATCCAGACCCACCCCAACTCCGCTGCTCCTGCCCTGACCCGGCACCCTGGGGCTGCTGCTGGCGCTGGGGCTGAGAGCCCACCCCACCACCATTAAAGGCTCCTTTGCTTTCAACATCATTTTGGGGTGAAACCAGCACTTTTAGGGTCATATACTGGGTTATAATGGGTTATAATTGGGTTATAATGGGGTATAATGGCCGTATAAGAGGGTATGATGGGTTGTAATAAGGTTATAATTGGGTATAATGTGTTATAATGGGGTTACAATGGGGTATAATGGGGTTATATTGGGTTATAATGGCCTATAATAGGGTATAATGGGGTTACAATGGGGTATAATGGGTTATAATGGGGTTACAATGGGGTATAATGGGTAATAATGGGGTTATAATGGGGTATAATGGGTAATAATGGGGTTATAAAGGGGTATAATGTGGTTATAATAGGGTACAACGGGGTATAATGGCTGTATAATAGGGTATAATAGATTAAAATGTGTTGTAATAAAGTTATAATTGGGCATAATGTGTTATAATGGCGTATAAAGGGGTTACAATGCGGTTATAATGTGGTTATGATAGAGTATAATGGGGTATATTGGGGGATAACGAGGTATAATGGGGTATAATGGAGTTATGATGTGGTTATAATGGATTATAATGTGGTTATCATGGGGTATAATGGGGTATACTGGGGTTATCTCTTTCATGGACACCCCCCTGTGGTGGAGGAAGAGCCTGCATGCCCCAGTGAGGTTGGGAGCTATGCTGGTGGTGGCTCATGCCTCCGGTAGGGTCTCCCGTTCCAGACCGGTCTCAACTGAAGGGGCAGACAAAGTATGTCCATGGGCAGGATGGGCTCACCAGCCTTGGGCAACCATCCTAGGAGAAGGACAGCTCTAACTTCAAACCGGGCAGGCGGAGCTCGTTGGGCCCTGTAAGGCCATCCATCTCAGAAAAGGAC